AACTAATACAAATGTGCCTATGAAGCTATTTTTTCATATAAATAATGTAAACATTTTTTTTTCAATTATCTGAAAAAATAGCTTCATAGGCACATTTGTATTAGTTTCCTGATCACCCCCACAAAATTTCAAGACTAATGGTTGAATAGAAAATGAAAAAAATGAGTACAAAATACACGAATTAGTTACCGACTACAGTGTGTATAGAGAAGCCTTAAGTAGTATATGTACGAGCTCGCGAGATAGGAAGCGAGAGGAAAATCAAAGAACAAAAAAAATTGAAATCCAAGTAAATTATGATAAATTCAATTTTTATTTAAATTAGTCTTTTGAATAGATATGGCAAATCTGAAGTATCGAATAGCAGAAGACATTGAAAAATACCGAAAATGTGCTTTTTGTGATCACACGAGCTTTGCAAGCAAGTACGCCTTGAATCTTCGTTCATTGGCTGCCCGAGCTGAAAGCCAACATACTGGCCACATTTTTCATGAAGAAAACGAGATTTGACGCATAATGTATATCTACATGTATTTTTGTCAACGCATCGTGGGGTTTTAAACTTATTAGATCCAAGGCCGACATACTCGGACTGACTGGCACATGTCGTAACTTCTCCACGAGCTTCACGTCGATATTTTCAAGATTCTGCGCATCGTTGAACAATCCGAAACTGAGTAATAAAGTCACGATCGTGTCGTAGTTACTTTGGTCCAGTGTGTATCCTCTTTTAATTAGGCAATCGACGATCTGCAGCGCGTTCATCGCTAGATGACATCTGAATTCGAGCGATGTATCCGGCAGCACGTTCCATTCCTCCACGAATCGATCGGCAACGGGAAAGACGAATTGATCCAAACTAGCGCCATAATTCAAGATCGCGACAGCGGTATTCGGCAAGAGTCTCGCCACGGCCAATTGAAGCGCCGTCCAGCCCTTCTTGTCCACGACGTCGACTTCCACCCGCTTGCCGTGCTTGTAGCAGATCGCAAGAAAATTCCCGGCCAATTCGTCGTTGAAAATCGTGGCTTTCTGACAGATAAAGATCAGAGTCGTTATGTGGCACCCAATGCCGTAATTCGGGTCGGCGCCGTATTGCAGCAACAGCTCGACCACTTCGTTCTGGCCCGCCATCGCGGCGCAGTACAGCGGCGGACTCATGTTCGGTTTGTTATCGGGATCCAGGCCCTTGAGGAGGAACGCCTCGACGATGTCCAGAAAGCCAAACTGGCAGGCTATGTGGAAATGCGTGATTCCGCGCTCGTCCACGTAATTCAGGTCGAATCTGTTGTAGATGTTGAAAAGCTCGCGGATCACCGAGGGCGCGGCGTGGCTCTTGTACGCGAAATGCACCGCTGTACTGCGGCCCAACACGTACCTTTTTTGTAAATCGACAACGGGCGCGTCCCTGTAGCCCATTTCAAACATAAGCTTGATGAATTTTACTCCTTGTTCATCCTTCCTCGTGGCTTTATAAGTTACGCTAGTCTTGAGAAGAGGCTCCATTTGAAAATGCTGTTGGATATTTGCCAGTAAATCGAATCGGACATCTGCATTTGTTCGTTCGTAATTATATTTTATGGTTTCTTCGATTAAATAGATGAGATTATCGATAAGTTTGAATCGCTCCTCAATCACATCCCACCGGGTACCAGTTCGCAACTTCACCAATTCTTCGTGAAATATGGGCATCGTGGTGGCGCACTCGCACAATCGATTATAATTTATTTATACAAAATTAATATGTCTCGCGAGAAACGTTGGGCTCTCTTTGTTTACGCTGCGACGTCCTAACGTGTACTGACTCTACGCAGGCTATGATTTAAAGAGTGTAAACATGTGCTCGAGGCTACTATAGATGTCGTTCGACCGAGTAACTCGCACGATTTACTATCCTATCAAACGTTACAATAAGAAGTTCCACACGTAAGAAATGAGGTGGGAAGCTCGGCAAAAAAAAAAAAATAAAAATAAGGAAAGAAAAATTGTTTAAGGAATTCGTTTATCGTCGATGCGAGCAAGAGGAAAAGTTGCTCAATCGGAGATTCGATTTTAAGTAGGTCTCGTGCTGTCTTCGATCGAAGTTTTCGTCGTCGTTGTGAGTTCCTCGCGCCAATGTTGTTGTGAAATTCATTTACAAACAACCGTTTTCACACTTTTGGCGTGTTCAGTTGCTGTATTTATTATACACACGAGGGAAAAGTATTATCTCGACGATGACGACGACGATTTTTGCACGGGATAATTGTAACGAACTCAAATATCATCGAATCACGTGTGCATACTACAGTGCGAGAAAGTAAAAATAAATCCATATAATTTCACGTGCGATGCGAGTCGGCATTTATGGGCTTTTAATACGTTGCGCTTATTGTACATACGCGGCGTGACTGAATCATTGTTCTTATAATATGGACACGAATGCAGCAATTCAATTATTGCTAGGGTCTCGACGTCAAATATTATAATCGTATTAATTTTCATCTCTTTTGTCGCGTGGGTCCTCGTACACATGCACGCGTTCATATATTATGTGCGGTAAAACTTTCACTCAGACTCAAATATAATACAATTGGATGACGAGTGTAATATAAATATATTTAAGTAGAAAAGGATGCCAACTTTATGAGCGAAGGAAAGTGCGTGAAGTGCACTACACGTTGTATGCACGCAGCAGCCGAGTATAGTTTTCTATTTTGTCGCTCGCGCTTCGCGAATTATCAAGTTTAATTGCAAAGTAATTATCAGCTCGTCGTCGTCGCGCGTCTGAAAATACCACAAACTCCGCATGCAGCTGCTGTCGCTGCAACAGTTTGCATACCATAAAAACGTACATTATTTATGGTTGCTCATCGTCGCGATCGAGTTTTTTTTCGATGCGCTACATATAGTATCGGGTATATAAAAATTTGATGCGCGCAGCAGTACTCTTACTTTCGAGCGAGCTTAATTTTGCACCTGCTTATCCGAAAAAAACAGATTAGAAAGTGACTGCGCACCGACAACGACGAGCTGTGTCTATGTGTGTGTGTGTGGTTGCTTATCCTGGCGGTGCTTAGCTGCGCGTATCGTCGACCGATGCTAATCCGCTCGTTCAAAAATTGCCATTGTTTGCGCGGCTCGTGACCGATATAGCATCCGTGTATGTACGCGGTAGACGAGATTACGAACTCGATTTTACAGAGAGAAAGAAAGAGAGAGAGAGAAAGGGTGAATCGCTTGGCCGAGTGGAAAAAATTTGTGCGCGCCCTGAAAGAAAACGATCTTACGTAACGTCGAGTCGGTGTATGAGATTCTTTTTCTCGAGCTGCGGAAAAACGAATTACAACTCAGATCACACTCGAGCCATACGGAGTATCATTGTTGCGGTTGATAATTTTTTTAATATATAGTATAAACAGCAGTATAATCGTCCGGCTCGATTTCACTCTACGTCTTTCTGTGTCTCTCTTCCAAATTAACCGGCTTTCATTATCTTCTTCTTTGACACGAGCGCAACAACGATCGTCAGTTTATGTAATTATATATAATATCCAAAGCTCGGCAACGTTTATTTTGCTTCTAATCGAATTGACGCTCAAATTGTCCTTTTTTTCTCTCTCTCTCTCTCTCTGTCTCGTTTTAATGAAACTTTTGTACACGGCTCGCGTATAATGAACTTATATAGCGGCAGTGTGTATATACGATGTACATTATCCCGTCCATCGTGTACACTTACGGACCGTCGAATTACGCAATCGATAATGTAATATATGTGTGTGTGTGCATGCGAGTGTTTTTATATATAGATACGAAACTGTGGAGATATAAGTACGTGAGGCCGCATGAGCAAAATCAGACGCGAACATCTAAGCTCGCATAGAGGGAAGAGATGATCGCGGAGTAAAGATACGTATAAAGACATGTTCGTTGTTTCATTTGCTTGCCTCGATTTTTTTCCTCTTTTTTTAGCTATTAAAGTCACAATACGACGTATATCGAGGCTCGCATTGTGCAATCGATATACACGTCTCGTTTATTTTATGTGTTCAAATGCAGTGTCCCGCGCGCGAGTTCGTTTGTGTATATTATAAAACCTGCAATTTGCCCGATTCGGAATCGAGGTGCAGCAGCTCGCAGATACAGACACTGGTCCGTAATAAGTACATTATGTATTATAGGTTGGTTTTTTTTTCACAGCTCGACGAGATATCCCTTTGGAAAAATTATTGTACGCGAGACGAGCGCGCGCGCGCCGATGCAAATTGGGGACGTTTTAACGCGTACGCGTAAATTTTCCGCAAATGCTCCGCGGCTAGTTGTTTTAGTCTAATGTTCAATGTACACACATAAAAGTATTATACATTTACGCATCCGGAGAGAAAAGAAGAGAATACAGCCAAGTATTGCTTTTTACACGCAGCACACACACACACATACGCTTGGATAATATTGGTGTGCGAGAGCTTTCTAACTCTCTCGCAAGTACTCGGCATTCCAACTTGTATTTGCTGTCTATTTAGTACGTGTATTTTTATAGTAGGTATACCTGCTGCACCCGATCGGCAAAAGTTAATTTTTGCAACAGCTGACGCGAAAGAACGAGAAAAAAAGAGGAGCGAAAATGTCACCTCTCGGCTAGTAGTGGTATGCACGCCTATAATGAAATGATGAAAAAAAAAGAAAAGAAAGAAGAAAAGTCTTTTTAAACCGCATTCCAGTCGAGAGAGAGAAAGAGAGAGACGTCTCTCGAGTCCTTTTAAATTTCGTTTGACCTCGCGCGTGTGTGTGTATGTGTGTGCGATAGTTTGTGATGCACAACGTAAGAGTGAAAGTGTATATACGTTCGTGAATATTGTTTCAAGCCCGGGCTCTTTTTCTCTCTCTCTCACTTAAGTCGGAAGATCTCGTATGTATGCGAGTTAAAAGCCGAAGTAAATACAAAATATTATGCATATTATATTTTTTTTTCTTCCAAGAATATATCGAGATTATCACATATTACGATAATAAATACTCACGTATTTGTGGCTTTTCCTTGGGAAAGCATATCCTGAAGAGGCCGTGCGTCCTCGTGTAGTAGTAGAACTTCTTCTCGAAAGCTTCGATCGAGACGCTGTCTGGATGTTGGGTTAAGTATTGCTGCGTTAAAACAAACAAACGAACAAAAAATTAAGCACGCATTAATGACGAGGTATAGACAATACAGGTTTTTTTTTTTTGTTTGTATTATATCGCGCATACTCGCTCGGGGACTGCTGCGTTCGAATTACACCGAGAAAGGCCGCATTTAAACGAGTCAGTGGCGCGTGTTGCATATCTCTCGTGTCGCGAACATAGAGAGAGAGTTCGTGGTACATAAACGAGATATATGGGTCGTTGAGTTTTAGAATATCGAGTTCTTGTTATAATCTTTTCTTTTTCTTTTTTTTTTTTTAATGTCAAATTTCCATCATTGTTTCGACGATTATTATATACTGTCTTTTTTCCACATATATAAATAGGAGCGCGTTGGTAATAGGGCGAGGCGCGCTCGTCTGCACGCGCACTTAACGATCCAAATACAATCGAAGACATCGCGCAGGCATAAAAAGAAGAAAAGAAGGTGATGCATATATAACTTTGCACGCAACGCATATTATACCATCGATATCCATCGAAGCTCGAGAAACTTTCGACGACTCACGCTCACCGCGTTGAGAGAGAGAGATGCGGTCGAAAGGTATAGGTAGGGGAATGGACACACACAATGCCCGGCGCGATTTATATACACACACACGTTCGAGAGCGGATGATGGTATTTAAAAGCAAAAGAGCTTATGTCATCTTTAGCAGGTTTTTTGGGAGCACAGGTATTTTATTATATTATTATATTATACACACATACACTTAGCACACGAGGCGGCAGACACCGCATTGCGGAGGACGTCGTTAATATTATTATGTATGTATATTGTAACGACCGACGCTACACATCCTCTCGCTCTCTTTGCCCAGTTATATACTTACACACGCGAGGTTGTACATTCGCACACACACGAGGTGAAATTTGAGACACAAGTTCACAAACGCAAAAAGGTTGAAAAATGATTTTTCGTGCGCGATGTGAAAGTCGGAGTTATTCTTTTTTTTTTCATTTCCTCGTCCGTTTTTTTTTTGGAGCAATGATTATACGAGGAGGCCCCCGACTGTATGCTTAATAGCGGTAAAAAAAATACGATGAGCACGGTGTAATTAATCGAGATACGTCCTTTGATTTATATATGTTCGATTGTGAGGAGAAAGGGGAGAGTATCGAATAAAAAAAGAAAAAAGAATCGATCGATTCTTCGATCTACATCGACGATATGGTCGACGGAAGAGGAGAAAAACGTTGCTGCGAACTCGGTCTGTGTGTGTATCACCTCTCGAGGTCAATTCCTGCTCTTGACGTGTACAACAACTACAACAACAACAACAACAACAACAACAACGACAACAACAAGACGAACGTCTAATTACGGGCAACTTTTTTCTCTCTCTTTCTGTTTCTGTCTCTCTTTATATAAAGTACACGATCGCGTCGAGGCCATCACCTACTAAATGGTTAAGCTCCATATATACACCTGCGGAGCTAGAGAGACTTACGGTAACGCTTCGTGCGATCGTCGTCGCAAGAGAAATAATAAAGCAAAAAAAAAAAACCACACAGAAAAGAAGAGGGAAAAATAGCGCGTCGTGCGCGCGTTCGCTCGCTTCTAGGATACGTATTTTCGCGCGTCTCGAAAGGAAGCGAAAACGGGAAAATAAGACGCAACTTTACTACCATACGACAACAAAAGTCGAAATGGAAAATTATAAAGATCGGATGTGGCCGATGTAAAAGTTATATATCTCTCCACTCGTGCGCTGGCCTGGATATATAGAAGCGCCGCAGTCCAGTGCACGGTTTTCACCGCGCGTCGATTATACGTATAAAGCGCCGCCGCCGCCGCTGCATTGCGATCGTGCGCGAACTTGGACGATCTCTCGCGCTCTCCCGTTCGCAGAAAATTGAACCGAAAGTCTCAAGCTACACGCGTGTTATCGAAAAAATACTTGGGGGAAAAAAATTCGCGTTTTTAGATCCCGATATCGATTTACACGATAGCGATACTCTCGTTGTGGCGCACATACAAGGCACAGACATTTTTGATTCGGATCGTGTGTACGTTATTATAATATACACGATGAAAATGCACGTGTGTATTAATATATTAAACTTTATACACGTATCCAAACGCAGCCATGAACTTTCGCCGCTCGCTTTTGGCTCCGTGCGGACGATGTTCTCGCGCGCGGGCGCGCTTATAAAGCGTGAGAAATGCCATTATTTTAATTACTTCGTGAGCGAGTTTCAAGTTTAAATGCTGCTGCAGCAACATAGCACGCGGATAAGAGTTTTTTTTTCTCTCTCTCTCTCCTTCGAGAACCGAGCGCACTGCTGCTGCACGCGTGAGAGGAGGTGCATTCATATTTATACACGCTGGTCCTAACACGTGTATTTTACTCTCTCTCGTTTGTGTATGGTATTTAACCTTACAAGTCGCGAGTAGTGTACGCGCTGAGTTGATAAAAATTCGTTCGTAATAATGTATCGTAACGATAATTTATGATTCGTCTGCGCGACCGCACATTAAGTTCGCGTAAAAATTCACCGTTTCGTTCATTCATTCATTCATTCATACAAATGGGATATTTAATATATAATGTATACCTGTAGACACGAATAGGAAACCCGTGACAGCTGACCTATATCCCTCCGAAAACTATATGTATTATATACGGAGCTTTATATACCACTCGATCGGCTGTACACATATATAGGCTATAAAGCAACAGGTGAGTCAGACACTTTGTGTGCTGTGCGCAGCAGCGGCAGCTCGCATAACTTCCTCGAACAATCGATCTCAAAGCTCGACCGATCGACGTGTCTGCGCCTACATATTCGAGATTCTCCTCGGCTTTAAAAGCGCAATCTTGACTATATGTATGTATAATATATTCCATTGGGTCGTCGAACTCTTCGACTTACTCTTGCGATTCTCTTGGCCGATCGCTGCGCTGTGCATGTAATGTATACACACACACACACACACACACACACACACACTTCGGGTACGAAATAATAACACTTATATACGTGTGCTGTATATTATGTAGGTATAAGAGCGCGGACGTTTAGAGCGATCGTTGCAGCGGAAAAATCTCGCGTGCGAGCGCAGTTTCCCCGTTTATAATCGTGCGCGCGGCTATTTCTAGAGGATAACGCTGCATTCGCGGATAGCTCGAGTCGACTATCTATCTATATATACATTTTAGAGGCAATGATCGAACGGCCGCGAGAGTCTGTTCAGTATACTTGCCCGCGAGTTAATAAATCGGATTCAACGCGAGAGAGTACCTATATATATATTTATACACGCAGTGCGAGCTGCGTGGCCCAGTTTGACGTATGCGTTATGCGTGTTATTTTCTAACGAGATCTAGCCTATATATTTTGTAAACATTTCGTAATTGACATTACATACGCATGGACACGTATTATTTTTATATGCCGGGAGTAAGTAATGTCACGACGACGGCGACGACGACGATTGGAATTTTTCGGTGAGAATATTCGACTTTGAAATTCCACGAGCGTGAAAGTCCTGTATATAGGCTTTTGGGGGATACGTACGCGTTTTGTCGAAAATCTCGCCCGGAGGCTGCTGCTAACATGCCTAACGGGAATTCAAACATGTGCCACGGACACACACAAGCGATGAAATCGAAATTCGTTCGTACTTACTCACACACATTTTTGTCGTGTCCGCAGCAAAAAAAACGGGATAAATTGGGCCGGATTAACACGCACTCGGTATTTCTTCGCAATTATCGGTCAGCTCGACACACGAGGAAAATATTTTACGCGTTATCGATCGATTTTTCGATTTTTCCCCGCGCGTGTGAATGCGCGTGCGATATAGACGTCGTCGGCAGTTTCCAATATTGATTCTTTGCCTTACATTCGATAAAAGCTACGCTGCACGGGAGCAAACTCGCACAACAAATTTAAAAAAAAAAAACAACAAACCGGTAAATACTTCTCGTGCGTTTCTCTCCCTCGCGCGCACATATACATGTACACGAAATAAGGCTCCACTTTCACCTCGATCGCGGAGAATTGGCGGCGAGCTGGCGCACAGAGCTCACGATCTGTGTAATAAGCCTTATAATCCAATGATTTCGATTAAACTTTCTTGGGGATATAATGTGCTGCTGCTGTTGCTGGCTCAAGTGGATAAGTGAAGCTATTTTTATTTGTGTACATATACGATTTAATCCATATATTATTCGATCGAGTTCGAAACAATTACTTATTACGATAAGCGTGTGCGCCACGCGGGAGAAAGAGATGAGCATCTATTAGAAAGAGATTTTTCAATATTATTACACAAGTCTCAAAATATCTAGCACAATCGTTTTTCTTTCGCCTGGCTTACATGGTATACGTGCCGATCGCCGACCTATCTCTCGCTAGAGCACTCCGCGATCGGTATTAATAAAGTACGAAAGTACGAAAAAAACTGAAAAGATCTCTCGAGATCAACAATAGCTCCGAGATAAGCTATATAGCAGTCTCTCTCTCTCCTATATACAATCGCGTTATTATCTGTACTGCGCGGGCCCGCGAGCGGTAAAATACGAGAGAGAAAATGCGGCAATTGCCAGCCTCGTCATTGATAAAATCAAACTGCAACGCGTGTCGTTTATAAAATCTCTCTCTCTCTCTCCTCTCGTTACGTACAAAACGACTGCGAGCCGCGCGTACACATACGCACGCCGTATCGAGAGTAAAATCTTTTTCGTATCGTTATACGAGTTGTGTATTATATATACGTGCGTGTGTGTGCCTCATCTGCCAGATCGTGATCATTGACAATGTACGCGTGTACTTGTGCGTGTATAAGTCATTTTTACAATGCGAGCCAAGGATAAATTTTGTAACAATCGCTAGCAGCTCGCACGTAGTAGGCGCCGCTTATGGGCGCTTTTCCGAGCGATATGCACCGCGAAATGGAAAAAAAAGGCTATAATGTTATTATACTCGGTGCCGCATGTATGTGCGGTTTACCCACGAT